TTCCATCTGTTTGGTATTGTAAATAGTACTGCTATGAACATGGCTGGGGCAGGGGGTGTGTGTGTGTATCTTTTCAAAGTATGGTTTTCTCTAAGTATATGCCCAGTAGTGGGATTGCTGGGTCGTAGAGTAGTTCTATTTGTAGTTTTTTAAGGACCCTCCATACTGTTCTCCATAGTGGCTGTATCAATTCACATTCCCACCAACAGTGCAAGAGGGTTCCCTTTTCTCCACACACTCTCCAGAATTTATTGTTTCTAGATTTTTTTGATGATAGCCACTCTGACCAGTGTGAGGTGATACCTCATTGTGGTTTTTGATTTGCATTTCTCTAATGATTAGTGATGTTAAGCATCCTTTCATGTGTTCGGAGAGATGTCTATTTAGGTCTTCTGCCCATTTTTGGATGGGGTTGTTTTTTTGATACGGAGCTGCATGAGCTGCTTGTAAATTTTGGAGATTAATCCTTTGTCAGTTGCTTCGTTTGCAAATACTTTCTCCCATTCTGAGGGTTGTCTTTTGGTCTTGTTTACAGGTTTCCTTTGCTGTGCAAAAGCTTTTAAGTTTCATTAGGTCCTGTTTATATTACTCTAGGAGATGTATCAAAAAAGATCTTGCTGTGATTTATGTCAGAGCACGTTCTGCCTATGTTTTCCTCTAAGAGTTTTATAGCATCCGGCCTTACATGTGAATTGCAGTTTTAGCTTTGTCATCTATCAGGTGATCACATAAGTATGTTTGTTTCTGGGCTTTCTTTACTGTTCCATTGACTGATTTATCCATCTTTATGACAATACCACACTGTCTTTTATTATAAGTCTTGACATCTGGCAGAGTTAGCCTTCTAGGTTTGCTGTTTTCTTCAATATTCTACAGCATGAATGTTGCCAAGAACATCTTTAGTCTACAGAATGTATTAAAATGATATCTATGTTTTTAGACATTCTGGACAATTCTATACTGTTATAGGTCTTTTGTACTTTCATTAACAAGGTGATTCTAAAATTTAATTTCCACAAATACAGACACACCTGTTAGGACGTTATTTGGGATTGCATCACTCATTTGGGGGAGAACTGACATCCTGACCATGGTATACCTCTACTTAGGTCTTTAAATTCTCAGTTGAGCCGATTTTTCTTTAAATATATTCCTAAATATTTTATATTATTTTTGTCTTTATACTAGCATTAAACAATTATAGAAAAAACAGTACAAATAGTTTGTTTGCACATTTACCTTGTATCCTGCAACCTTGCTTATGAATACAGACTTTTTTGCCTTTTGTACTGGCATTCCTAGCCAGTAGAGTGTTGTACAGAAGTTCTGACCTCAGGGAGATACTGTTCGGTATGTTACCATTAATTTTGATGTTAAGGATTTCTGTAAATGCCCTTTATCATTTTAAGGAAGTTCTCCTCTATTCCTCGAGTTTTTTTTTAAAAAAAAATGAATTCAGTTTTGTCAAATGCTATCTATCTCTGTATGAGATAAATCATATGGCTTTTCCTACTTATTGTTAGTACTGGTGAGTAGTCTTGATTAAACCAATCTGATATTTCTGAAATACATCCTCCTTGATCAGAATGTATTCAGTTTTTATAATCACTGAGTTTTTCTGTGTGTATTCTGTAGCTGTCCTTTGTTGTAACCTTTCCAGGTTTGGGGTTGAAGACTGTCCTATTTTCATAAGATGAGTTGAGCATTGTTTCATGATGATTTTTCAAGATTGTGTTATTCTTTATTGTTTGCAAATTCAAAAAGCCATTTCAGCCTGAAGTTATTTTTATGCAGATTTAAAATTTTTAACTTGATTAATATCATAAGTACAATCCATGTAGTTTCTGGAACAGATGGTGAAATATTATTTACTTAAAACCAAATAACAACTGTGTAGTTCCAACGTACCTTAATATCTTACTCTTGGTGCAGTGAGACAGAAGCTAGGTGTCCTACACATACACACAAAGTTGGTATTGCAGGTGAAGAACACTGATAAAATGAATCTGGGCTTGCTCCTGTAGAAGGGAGAGGTAGCTGTCCCACTCTTTTAAAAGGAGAAAGAAAAACCTTTGCTCCCTTGGGGAGGATCCTGAATTCTTTCTTTAACCTTTTGGTATATAAATTTCTTCAGGGGAAAAAAAAGACCACTGTCTCCAGCTTCATCAGGGCTCCCAGGTTTCAGCACCTGCACTGAAATGTAAATCTCTCTAGAGTTCTACCCTTAATAATTACTCTCCTAATCTCATTCTTTGACCTTAGGTTCCAAGTTTCATCAACATTTGCTCACAAAGTCCTAACTCTGCAGAAAAGTAACATTATTTTCCAGAGTCCCACAGTGCTACTCATTTTACTTCTCCATAGGTGACTTCTGGCCAGTTTTTCTACATATGTGCTATTCCTCATTTTGTTTTAGCCTTTTAACAATGAAGGTCTGTGGTAGAAAGCTGGATAGTTTCCTCTTCAAATTCTTCTCTTAGCCTTTTGCAGGGCCCAGCTGTTCCCAGGTGCAGCAGGGTATACTAATATTTTGCCATCCATACAACTCTGGCCAGTCAGTTGAAGCTGATTTAAATGCCTTCCAGGCTGAGGCAGGATCATGTATCATTTCAGCTAAATTTAGGAACAAATTCCACACCTCTTTCTAGTGGAATAACAGCACTATAGGTAAAACTCCTCACAGACTGAGGGTCTGAGGTCTCTTTCTTACACTACCAGGTGTTTGTGCAAATACTTGAACATTTCTGATAACTATCCCTAGGTGCAAATCACACACATATTCTGATGTAGTAGCCACAAAATAACACGAAGCTGTTTTTTAAAAAGTACCCTTGTGAGTGATGTCAGCATCATGGCAGTTTGAGATATTCATTTTGTCACTCCCCTTCAACCTACAAATAGTAAAACATCTGTAACTCACTCAAGAAATCCTCTGCCCAACACACCAGGACACCAAAGAGTTCCATACATCAGTACATCTACAGGTGGGTGGATGAACACAGAGGAGACAGAACCAGGGGAACAGCAAGGAGTAGATGACAGTAGATGAAAGACAGTAGATGAAAATGAGCAATTTATAGGGGATAAACAGCTGGGCTTACCCAAAGAAAAATATATTCATCCTAGATTTGTAAAATGATGGCTAAAAAATATGTTTGTCTCAGTGATACTTAAAAAAAATATATTGTTGGGCTTCCCTGGTGGCACAGTGGTTGAGAGTCCACCTGCCAATGCAGGGGACACGGGTTTGTGCCCCGGTCCGGGAAGATCCCGCAGAGCAGCTGGGCCCATGAGCCATGGCCACAACAGTGAGAGGCCTGCATACCACAAAAAATATATAGTCAGTTCTCAAGGGCTTAATTTCCCAAGTATACAAACAGCTCATACAACTCAACAACAACAAGATAACCCAATCAAAAAATGGGCAGAAGACCTAAATAGACGTTGCTCCAAAGAACACAAAGATGATGATGGTCAACAGGCACATGAAAAGATGCTCAACATCACTAATTATTAGAGAAATGCAAATCAAAAACTACAATGAGGTACCACCTCACCACTGGTCAGAGTGGCCATCATTAAAATGTCTACAAATAAATGCTGGAGAGGGTGTGGAGAAAACGGAACCCTCCTACACTGTTGGTGGGAATGTAAATTGATACAGCCACTATGGAGAACTCTATGGAGGTTCCTCAAAAAACTAAAAATAGAATTGCCATATGATCCCACAATCCCACTCCTAGGCATATATCCAGACAAAACTCTAAGATACATGCACCCCAATGTTCATAGCAGCACTATTTACAATAGCCAAGACATGGAAGCAACCTAAATGTCCACTGACAGAGGAATGGATAAAGAAGATGTGGTACATATATACAATGGAATCTTACTCAGCTATAAAAAAAGAATGAAATAATACCATTTGCAACAACATGGATGGACCTAGAGATTATCATACTAAGTGAAATAATTCAGAAAGAGAAAGACATATACCACATTATCACTTATATGTGGAATATAAAATATGACACAAACGAACTTATATATGAAACAGAAATAGACTCACAGATATAGAGTACAGACTGGTGGTTGCCAAGGGGGAGGGATGGAGTGGGTGTTTGGGATTAGCAGATGTAAACTAGGATATACTAGGATATATAAGAGTGGATAAACAACAAGGTCCTCCTGTACAGCACAGGGAACTACATTTAATATCCTGTAATTAACTATAATGGAAATGAATATAAATATATATATATATATATATATATATATATATATATATAAAACTGAGTCACTTTTCTGTATACCAGAAACTAACAACATTGTAAATCAACTATACTTCAATAAAGTAAATTTTTAAATATATACTGTCAGTTTTTGGACATTAAACTCAAGGATATAGAATACTGTAGATAGTAGAGGAGTAAAAACAACCACACATAATCATAAGGTAAAGGTAAAAGAAATTTCTAGGACCAGGTTTAGAATTTTATTCCTTACGGTTTTCATGGTATACAGAGATGTTGAAACATGGATATGAAAGCAGGATTGAAAACTGACACTAACTCAGGTGAAATCTGGGGGAAAGCCAGAAGGGATTGAAACAGGGTTTGATGGTCAGGAGAGGTCCACTGCTGACCAACTCTGATGTAATGAAGGGAACATACCATACCTACAATAGAGCTGTAAGTCTGAATCTGTGGCAAGAATGGCTTGTCCACTCATTGATTTGCTCTTTTGTTGCTTCTTTTTATTCCTCATGAATCAGAGCTAGAAAAGAAGTACTGTTCCTTTATGAGTTAGGGCTCTTAGAATATTGATTTCTTGCTGCTGGGTAGAATGGAAAAGAGAGAGAAGACTGGACATATACACTGTTGTCATATTCTAGGCATGGAAGAGATAAGACCTAAACTGATCAACTCCCTGAAACCTAATGCTAACTATTTCCTCCAAATATCCTTGGTGAACTAATCTTTCTTGTCACTCTATTTCAGAATTAATTAATAGCAGTAGAAACTATTCAAGAAAGAAGTTTGATGAGTTTAACAAAGGTAGAAAATGGTTCCAGGATGACAAGCATGAAGGAATTCACTCTGAAGAGAAACCTTATGAATATAATAAAAATGGGAATGGCCTCTGTCTTAATGAAGACTCTGTTCAGCCTCAAAAAATTCAAATTTTGGAGCAACCTTTTGAATACAGTGAATGTAGGAAAGCTTTCCATGAGAATTCACTCTTTGTTATACATAAGAATCCTTACACAGGACAGAACACCTGTGAATACACTGAATACAGAAAAACCTTCTGTGATATGTCATCTCTCTTTGCTCATCAGAGAACACATCCAAAAGAGAATCACTATGAATTTAATGAATGTGGAGAAAATTTCTTTGAGGAATCCATTCTCTTTGAACATAATGTTCACCCTTTGAGCCAGAAGTCAGATCTCATTCCAATTCAGAGAAGCCACTCAATTGACAATATTATTGGATATAATGAATGCGGAAACTTTTTCAATGAAAAATTAGTCTTTGGCATACAAACAGGAGAAAAACCCTATGAATGTCATGAATGTGGAAAAACCTTCAACAAGAAGTCAGCCCACACAAGACATCGGAGAACCCACACTGGGGAAAAATCCTGTGAATGTCATGAATGTGGGAAAACTTTCTGCAAGAATTCAGACCTCGTTAAACATCAGAGAGTTCATACAGGGGAGAAACCTTATGAATGTCAAGAATGTGGGAAATCCTTCAGTGAAAAGTCAACCCTCACCCAACATCATAGAACACACACAGGGGAGAAACCATATGAATGTCATGAATGTGGAAAATCCTTCTCATTTAAGTCAGTCCTTACTGTACATCAGAAAACACACACAGGGGAGAAGCCCTATGAATGCTATGAATGTGGGAAGGCCTTTCTCAGAAAATCAGACCTCATTAAACATCAAAGAACTCACACAGGAGAAAAACCTTATGAATGTAATGAATGTGGGAAATCCTTCTCTGAGAAGTCAACTCTCACTAAACATTTGAGAACTCACACAGGCGAGAAGCCCTATGAATGTACTGAATGTGGAAAATTTTTCTGCTACTACTCAGGTTTCACAGAACATCAGAGGAGACATACAGGAGAGAAACCTTTTGGATGTAATGAATGTGGGAAAAACTTCCGTCAGAAATCAGCCCTAATTGTTCATCAGAGAACTCACGTAAGACAGAAACCCTATGAATGTAATGAATGTGGAAAGTCATTCTGTGTGAAGTCAAAACTCACTGCACATCATAGAACACACACCGGGGAGAAACCGTATGAATGTAATGTTTGCAGGAAATCATTCTATGTGAAGTCAAAACTTACTGTACATCAGAGAACACATTTGGGGAGAAACCCTATAAATATAATAAATGAGGGAAATCACTCTGGGTGAAGTCAAGAGTTTATATAACAAAGAACACAAAGCAGGGAGAAAAGATTTTGAGAACATCTTTGGTCTAAAGTCAGTTCTCGTAATACAGCAGAGAACTTACAGAGGGAAGAAAATAATATGAAGATATTCTGGACATAGGAAAACTTTCTACTGGAATTTGAACCATACAGTGTATCAGAAAGCTCAGAGTACAGAAAACCTATTGGTGAATGAATACAGGGAACCTTCTGCCCAAAGCCACACCTCACTAAACATCAGAGAAATCACACAGGGTAGAAACCTCTATCAGTATTCATAAAGAAGACTTCATCCACAGGCCAGAGAAAATGCACAAACTATAGCAAGTTATAGGAAAGCATTTACTATGAGTTGGTGTTTTATTGGACTTGTGTGAAATGTTTGAAGTAGCATTTCAGTGGATATCAGATAGTAATTTAAGTGGGTAGAAGCTTTAAGTTAAACCTAAGCTTACCATACATCAGCAATTTTGAACTGAAGTGTCTGGCATTTAGGAAATGTGGAGAATGTTTGCATTTAGACATAGCATTTATACAATTTGGCCTATTGCTGGGTGTGCTATTCCTTCCAATTTAAGGTACTGGACATCAACTGGAACCAGGGGTTATAAGCAACTCACGTGTTTATTGCTGAGGCATATGGAAAACAAGGGAAGATTTTTAGCAAGGGGACCCACCTGCAAGAAGATTTTCTGATGTCCAGGTGGAGAGAGAGAGATATCCTTGTCTTGGTGATATACATAGGACAGGTGCTTGCCAGCAGGATTTTTGATTAATTGTGAGGCTAATTTCGAGTGGCCTGTCCTGAAATGGTGGATCAAAGGGGCAATGTAGGTTCCTTGAATGCAGCTACCTGGTGTAGTGGAAGTGGTATGAAATATAGGTAGTTTCTGCCTTAGCAGTGTTTAACAGTTTGGCCAGATGCCATCCTGCTGTGAAGTGACTTACTGCAACCAACTTAACATGTTTCTTTAAAAAGCAGAACATTCATGTACAAACATATACACTGTTAAGTATGGAACTTTAAAAAGCACAAATAGATTTTACTACTGAGTAAGATACAGTAGTTTGCAGCAGACCAGTGCACTCACTAAGAACAACTAGAAAAGCAGTTCACAAAAAGCATCTATTTACTTGCAACCTATTGCAGAAGCAAAGAGGGCTAGAATGGTAATATTCAGGAGAGGAGTGAATGACAAAGTATATGGGAAAATATAGCTGTTTTTCCTGGGAGCACTTGCCAATTCTGGCTACAGGGAGGAACCTGAATATTGAGCTTGGCTCAGGCAGAGGGCTATAGCTTGGTGGGGCAAGGGGGGTTAGGGTGCAGGGAGACCAGAAACCAGGGAATGGTGAACTTTGCCAGTCAAGGCTGGAGTGAAAAATTCTGAAACATGAGAGGCTTCAAACACATAGCCAGTTTCTCAAAATTTTGAGAATACTGACACAGGGCAGGAACTTGAAAATCTAATCTCAAAAACACAAGTAGATTTTCTTTTTCAGTACTGAGAAATAAATGAATAGAATTCAGGAACTGCCAGTAGGATGGGCCCCTGGCAAACACAGCATGCTATCAATAAAAGCACAAGGTCATACCAGAGGTAGATTGTACCTTACCCAAACTGCAAACAATCTGAGTCATATTTAAAAATCTACCAGAAAGAAAACTCATAGGAACAGATGGCTTCACTGCAGTTATTCTAAATATTAAAAAAAGACATAATACCAAACTTTTATAAACTTTTCCAGAGATAGGAATTTTCCTGTTCACTTTATGAGGCCAGTACAACTTTGATACCAAAACCTTTAAGACATTTCAGGAAAGTAAAGTTATAGGCCACTATCTTATGAATTTAGATACAAAATCCTAAAATTAAAAAAATTCCAGCCATATCAAAGGACAATATATCTTGACTAAATGATGTTTACTAGAGGAATCAAAGGATAGATTTAGTATTTCAAATTCAATCCATTTGGCCTTCTACTCCTCTCTCTCATTCTCCTTTCTCCTTTTGCACTTTGTAAATTTCTCTCCTGCCTTCCCTTCCTAGAGTTTAAGAGGCAGAATAGGCCTGCCGTGAGGGATGAGAAAGGTGTTGTGGTGATGTGCCAACCTGCATCAAGAGTGCTGGGGGCAAATGGAAGAGATGGTTAGCATGGCTGAGATACTGGTAACATTGAGCAGATAAGTAAATGTACTGAAGATGATGAGAGCCAGGTTCCTGTTAGAAAAGGTATCTATAAAAATGGAAAGGGGGGAAGTTAGAAAACCACCTGGAGTGTTGGACTGGAATGATACTCATTTTAACTACACAGAAATAATTATAGTAGTCATTGTGTGTGTGTTTGTGTGTATTTTATGGATCTGTCTACTGACAGCTCAGTAGCACTGAGCACACCAATTACCAGGTTATTAATTACTAAATACTATCCTCCCACCAAAAATGGAGCAGGTCTCTGGAGTGATAGCTTATTCCAAGTCAGAGATGGGGAGAAATATCTATCAGACAATAAGAAAATGTTCTAAGAATTATGGAAACATGTCAAAAGAACCACCTTGGACAGGTTCCAGTGGCCAAATTTGAGACAGTTTGAACATCAAAACAAATAACAATAGCATCATAATATAAATGACTTAAAAATGTGAATCCAATAATTTGTACAGATATAAATAAGTGCATAAATACATAGAGGAGGGAAAGCTTTCTTTATAAGCCAACTAATAAATGTAGGAGGAATAATGGCAATAGAAAAAACACTATTTGGCAACCATCATACTGGTGGTTGATTCAGTAAGTAGGTGCCAACATAGGCTAGAGTTTGTGGGTAGAAGTTTAATGAAGAACAGGTATTGGCATTATCTCCAAATATTTCACCACAAAATACTAATCAACTACAAAGGTGAAAATGGTGATTTTTATGATAAACCTGGCAGAAACCTGGCAGACACCAACATAATCAAGTGATCAAAGTTCACTTCACCAATGGTAGGACAGGTCAACGTAATGTACTCCCTGGTGAGATGCTCTGAGAAGAGCCAACACATTTGTGCTGTATTCTTACCAAGAAAGCATAGCCAGAGTATGCTAATGCGGAAATATCAGATGAACCCCCTTGAAAGGTTATATTATAGAATGTAAAGCCTGCATTTAAATTGTCAAGGACATAAAAGGAAAAGACTGGGAGACTGTTCCAGGTTGGACTAGACTGAAGATGTTTTAAAATAAAAACAAAAAGGAAAAATAGAATAGTTCGGACAATAAAGAGTGTGTAAATTCGACGGTAGTGTTTATTTTCAGACTTGGGTCCATAGATAAGTGTTTTGTTTCAGGAAAATACACACTCAAGTACATAGGGGAAACGAAGTCTCGTGTCTGCAGGTTATTTTCAAATGCTTTAGAAAAAGAGTAATGAGTATGTGTGTGTAGAGACAGAGTTCAAGTATGTGCTCAAGGGACAGATGGAGGAAATGCAGTGCACAGGGGGAAATCGAAATGAGTTTTTCCTACTAGTGACTTTAGTAAGTTTGAAATCATATCCAAGCAATACTTAAAAGTTTAAGTTAATTGATGTAGCCTACACATTAGAAAAAAATAAGTTAAACCATATTAGTGTCTCAGTAGAGGTGGAAAACATTTGATAGAACTTTACACACATTCATGATTAGAAAACTACACTAGGAATAGAAGGAAACTTCATTAAAAACAAGTGAAAAGCTAATATACAACAAACATCAAACTAAGTAGATGAATACTGGAATATTTCTTCCTGATATTAATAATGGGACAAGGACCTCCCTGGTGGTGCAGTGGTTAAGAATCAGCCTGCCAGTGCAGGGGACATGGGTTCGAACCCTGGTCCAGGAGGATTGCCACATGCCACTGAGCAACTAAGCCTGCGTGCCACAACTACTGAAGCCCACGTGCCTAGAGCCCGTGCTCCACAAGAGAAGCCACCGCAATGAGAAGCCCGCACATCACAACAAAGAGTAGTCCCCACTTGCCACAACTAGAGAAAGCCCGCGTGCAGCAATGAAGACCCAATGCAGCCAAAAATAAATAAAATTTTAAAAATAATAATGAGACAAGAATGCTTGTTACTGCCACCACTACTATCTAACAGTGGACTGAAGGTTTTAGCTAGGTCAGGTCAGTAAGGCCAAATAAAAATAAGACCTAAAAACTGGGAAGATTGAAGTAAAACTCATTATTTGCAGGTAATACCATTGTTTACATTTAAAAGTCTATGGAAAAATTATTAGAAATATGTGAATTTAGCAAACTGGCTATATAAAAATTATATTTTTATGTATAAACAACCAATAGAAAAATTAAATGATGCCAGGAGAATTGCATCCTTCCTGGATAGGGTGGCAAAGAACAGAGTTATTCTCCTGCCTGGCATAATTGGGGAAAGGGGAAACAGAAAAATAAAGGAAATAATTATGTTCAAGTCATTGGACATACAACAGCCCTAAAACAGTTCCAGAAATCCAAAAAGTGCATCACAAAATTAAGAGAAGTTCAAAGACAAAAATAAATGAAAGGGTGTTAAGAATGACTTGTGGGGAGAAGACAAGATGGCAGAGTAGAAGGAAGTGAACTCACTCCTTACGGAACCATCAAAATCACAATGAACTGCTGAACAACCACTGCCAAAAAATAAATAAATAATGCTTGAACCTACCAAAAAAAATACCCTACATCCAAAGACAAAGAAGAAGCAACCAAGAGGCAGTAGGAGGAGCACAATCACAATAAAATCAAATCTCATATATGCCGGGTGGGCGACTCACAAACTCGAAAACAGTTATACCACAGTTCTCCCACAGGAGTGAAAGTTCTGGGCTCCCAGCCTGGGGGTCTGGCAACAGGAGGAGGAGCCCCCAGAGAGTCTGGCTTTGAAGGCCAGCGGGGTTTCATCACAGGAATTCCGCAGGACTGGGGTAAACAGAAACTCCACTCTTGGAGGACGCACAAAGGGTCTTGTGTGTACCAGGACCCAGGGAAAAAAGTGGTGACCTCATAAGAGACTGGGCTAGACTTACCTGCTAGTGTTGGAGGGTCTCCTGCAGAGGGAGGGTTTGCTGTGGCTCACTGCGGGGACAAGGACATCGGTGGCAGCAGTTCTGGCAAGTACTCACTGGCCTAAGCCCTCTTGGAGGCTGCCATTCTCACCAAGACCTGGCCCCACCCAACAGCCTACAGGCTCAGTGCTGGGACACCTCAGACCAAACAACCAACAGGGCAGGGACACAGCCCCACCTAACAGTAGACTGGCTGCTTAAAGTCCTCCTGAATAAACTGCTGCCTGATAAACACACCCCAACATGGCCCTGCCTACCAACATGGCCCTGCCTACCAGAACGACAAGAACCAGTTCCACCCACCAGTGCACAGGTACCAGTCCTTCCCACCAGGAAGCCTGCATAAGTCTCTTAGCCAGCCTCATCCACCAGGGGGCAGGTAGCAGAAGCCAGAAGGAACTACAACCCTGCAGCCTGCAGAATGGAAACTGCAATCACAGAAAATTAGACAAAATGAGACAGCGGAGGAATACGTCCCCGATGAAGGAACAAGATACAACCCCAGAACACCACCTAAGTGAAGTGGAGACAGGCAATCTACCTGAAAAAGAATTCAGAGTAATGATAGTAAAGATGATCCAAGATCGTGGGGAAAAAATGGAGACACAGATGGAGAGGATACAAGAAATGTTTAACAAAAACCTACCTAGAAGAACTAAAGAACATACAGATGAACAATACAATAACTGAAATGAAAAATACACTAGAAGGAATCAATAGAATAACTGAGGCAGAAGAATGGATAAGTGAGCTGGAAGACAGAATGGAGGAAATCACTACCATGGAACAGAATAAAGAAAAAAGAATGAAAAGAAATGACGACAGTCTAAGAGACCTCTGGGACAACATTAAACACACAAACATTTGCATCATAGGGGTCCCAGAAGGAGTAAGAGAAAGGACCTGAGAAAATACATGAAGAGAGAATAGCTGAAAACTTCCCTACCATGGGAAAGAAAATAGTCACCCAAGTCCAGGAAGGGCAGAGAGTCCCAGGCAGGATAAACCCAAGGAGAAACATGCCAAGACACATAGTAATCAAATTGACAAAAATCAAAGATAAAGAAAAAATATTAAAAGCAACAAGGGAAAGGCAACAGACAACGTACAAGGAAACTCTCCCATAAGGTTATCAGCTGATTTCTCAGCAAAAACTCTGCAGGCCAGAAGGGGGTGGCACAATGTATTTAAAGTTATGAAAGGGAAGAACCTACAACCAAGAATGCACAGCAAGCTTCTCATTCAGATTCAACAGAGAAATCAAAAGCTTTTCTGACAAGCAGAAGCTAAGAATTCAGCACCACCAGACCAGCTTTGCAACAAATGTTAAAGGAACTTCTCTAGGTGGGAAAGAAAAGACCACAACTAGAAACAAGAAAATTATGAATGGAAGAGCTCGCCAGTAAAGGCAAACATACAGTAAAGATAGGAAATTATCTGCACACAAATATGATATCAAAACCAGCAATTGTGAGGAGAGCACAAGTGCAGGATATTGGAAATGCATTTGAAATTAAAGATCAGCAACTTAATACAATCTTATTTTTTTGATATAGACTGCTATATCAAAACCTCATAGTAACTGCAGCTGAAAATCTACAATAGATACACACACAAAGAAGAAAAAGGAATCCAAACACAACACTAAAGTTAGTCGTCAGATCACAAGAGAACAAAAAAAGGGAAGAAAAAACACCTACAAAAACAAATCCAAAACAGTTAACAAAAATAAATGGAAGGATTTACTTAGTGTTGATGACTTTGAAGACTGATTTCCCCCTAAATTGAATGATTAATTCAATGCAACCCTAACTGCCATCCAACAGCAGGTTTTGTTGTTGGAAATTATGAATTTAAAATGTATTTGCAAATGCAGTGACCAACAATAGCTGACACAGTCTGAAAATAGCAAAGTAAAGCTGCAGGACTCAGACTGCTACATAACTAGACTGTTACAGGCAGACCTCAGAGTTATTGTCTTGGTTCCGGACCACAGCAATAAAGTAAATATTGTAATAAAGCGAGTCACACTGGTTTCTCAGTGCATATAAAAGTTACGTTTAGGGCTTCCCTGGTGGCGCAGTGGTTGAGAGTCCGCCTGCTGATGCAGGGAACATGGGTTTGTGCCCCGGTCCGGGAAGATCCCACATGCCGCAGAGCGGCTAGGCCCGTGAGCCATGGCCGCTGAGCCTGCGCGTCCAGAGCCTGTGCTCCGCAACGGGAGAGGCCACAACGGTGAGAGGCCTGCGAACCGCAAAAAAAAAAAAAGCCAGTGGCATACTGGGAGGAGACAACTGCAGTGCATGTTTCTAACCAAGGATTCTTACACAAAATGTGTAAAGAGCTCCTATAAATCAAAAAAAGTCAGAAAAATTAGCAGAAAAACGTAAATTGAACATAATTTACAAAGAGTATATTTAACTGGCAAGTAAACATGTGAAAACTTGATCAGCTTCAGTAGCCATCAAGGAAAGGTAAATTATAACGAAAATTTAATACCACTACACACCAGAATGGCTAAAATGATTTTTTTAAAACTGATGAAGATATGAAGCAACTGGGATTCATACAAGTTTGGTGGAAATCTAAATTGTACACTTTGGGAAACAGGCTTTTTCTACTAAAGCTGAGCATGCATGTTAATTTTGGGTTTTTTTTGTTTTTTGTTTGTTTCGCTAGTTTTTTGTTGTCGTTTTTGGCCGTTCTGCGCAGCATGCGGGATCTTAAGCATGGAGTCCTAACCACTGGACTGCCAGGGAATTCCCCTATATTTTGGATGTGTAATTGTACTTCTAGGCATATATCCAACAGATAAATACAAATATTTTTACTGAAAGAGTATTCACAGTAGTACTATTCTCAATAGCCCGGATACAGACAACAGCACAAATGTCCACCAACACTAGAATGGATATATAAATGTGCTCTATTCACTCAGTGATACACTCTACAGGATTGAGAATGAACCAACCACAACTGCACGCATACAAAAGAAACAGCACAAAGGAGTACATACTATATTTCACTCAAAAAGGCAAATTTAATATGTGGTGTTGGAAGTTGGGATGGTAGTCGCCTGGATGGTGACAAGTTGGAAGGATTGACTTGAGGGAGCTCCTCTGGTGTTAACAGTGTTCTGGTTTTTTATCTGTATGTTGACTGTAGGTGTATTCACTTGGCAAAAGTTATTGTGAATATTTATATATACTCATAGTTTAGTATAACTGTTCCTTAATAAAAAACAGAAAGTCTGAACACGTTGGCTCTCTGAAATCCCTCCAATAGTTTCTCAGTTCTTAAAAAACACAACACAAATAAGATGATTCATTAGGATAACAGCAGTAAGTATGTATGTGAAGAATCCCTGTGTGATGTGCTAAAGGTATGTGAATATATTACATAACATATTTTGTCCCCTTAGCTATGTGACAAAGATTTTTCACGTTAAATGCTAAACAATTTCTCTTAATATACATTTTAAGGCAAATAATATTTTACAGTTGTCAAGTTTATCTTACCTAGTATATGTTCTCTTATGGTTTCCTGGCATATATAAGTGGATATGGCCAGTGTTTTCTATTAACTCTTTAATAAAGAATTTAAACATTGTGTTTATTAAGTTTTCATGTGCCTCAGCATCTACCAGTGGGTATAATGAAAATACTAATTAAACAAAATAAGCATTGTCATGTTAATTAAAGAAAGCAGATTTGAACTACTTCAATTCAACACAGTATTGCTTTCCATTATATGAAGAAAATATCCTGTTAAAATGTTCAGATGAGACATCTAGGTATGAGTTGTATAATCCAAGCTAAACAGGAAA